AATCATTCTACCTTTGACACTTGCAAGGATGACGTTGATCACTGGCGGCACTTGAATCTTCTACCTGTGTGACACTTGCAAGATGACGTTGATCACTGGCACATGACTCCCCCCAATTCTACCATGTTTGACACTTGCAAGACCAACGTTGATCATGGCACATGAATCTTCTTACCATGTTACACTTGCAAGATGACGTTGATCACTGGCACTTGAATCATTTCTACCTGTTGCCACTTGCAAAAACGGGGGGGATTTTGTGGTGGGGGAACGGGGGTTTGATTCACTGGCACTTGAATCATTCTACATGTTGACACTTGCAAGATGACGTTGATCACTGGCACTTGAATCATTCTACCATGTTGACACTTGCAAGATGACGTTGATCACTGGCACTTGAATCATTCTACCATGTTGACACTTGCAAGATGACGTTGATCACTGGCACCTGAATCATTCTACCATGTTGACACTTGCAAGACCACGTTGATCACTGGCACTTGAATCATTCTACCATGTTGACACTTGCAAGACGACGTTGATCACTGGCACATGAATCATTCTACCATGTTGACACTTGCAAGACCACGTTGATCACTGGCACCAGAATCATTCTACCATGTTGACACTTGGACATCTGTGACCAGCATCAAGTCACCGATCACTGATGCTACCGTTACTTAAGACAATCATGTCCAGCCCCCACCGTAGTGCTGACGCCAATAATCGGTTTAATTCTTTGGTTTGATTTTTGTCTCTGGTTATTGATATCTTCTTTTATTAACATAAAATTATTGTTGCAGTTTTTATTTTGAAAAATTCAGTGTCATTTTTTTTCCTGTGAAGAATTATCTATCAACTATTTAATTCACCAGTTTTAAAAAGCAATAGATAGCGATATTGCAACAAGCAGGTAGATATTGCAACAAGCAGGTAGATATTGCAACAAGCAGGTAGATATTGTTACAAGCAGGTAGATATTGCAACAAGCAGGTAGATATTGTTACAAGCAGGTAGATATTGTAACAAGCAGGTAGATATTGCAACAAGCAGGTAGATATTGCAACAAGCAGGTAGATATTGCAACAAGCAGGTAGATATAGGTATATTTTTAAAAGCTTAAAGACCCATGTAGATTTAGCGCTTCGTTTGGTTATAATAATAATTTAAGAGAGTCATTAAGATAAGCCTGTGGATCAATAAGACACATGAGCAATATTAGGTATCTATTACCGAGACGTTTAGCATGCGCATCAAGTCATCTTTCTTGGAGTTTACCTGGAGAGGGTTTCCGGGGCCAACGCCCCCGCGGCCCGGCCTGAGACCAGACCTCATGGTGGATCAGGGTCTGATCAACCACTCTGTTACTGCTGGCCGCACGCAAGCTGACGTACGAACCACAGTCCGGTTGGTCAGGTACTGACTTTAGGTGCCTGTCCAGTGCCTTCTTGAAGACAGCCAGGGGTCTATTGCTAATCCCTTTTATGTATTCTGGGAGGCAATTGAACAGTCTTGGGCCCCGGACACTTATTGTGTTGTCTCTCAGTGTACTCGTGGCACCTCTGCTTTTCATCGGGGGAATGTTGCATCTCCTGCCGAGTCTTTTGCTTTCATATGGAGTGATTTTCGTGTGCAAGTTTTGTACCAATCCCTCCAGGACCTTCCAAGTGTATATTATCATGTATCTCTCTCGCCTGCGTTCGAGGGAATACAGATCATGGACCTTTGTTCACTCTCCAGGTCTGCAATGTCACCAGCCTTGAAGGGGGCTGTTAGTGCTCAGCAGTTTTCCAGCCTAGAGAGCACAAGCGATTTGAAGAGAATCATCATGGGCTTGGCGTCAATAGTTTTGAAGATTCTTATAATCCATCCTATCATTTTCCTAGCGGATAAGGAAGATACATTGTTGTGGTCTTTGAAGGCGAGATTCCCTAACATTATCACTCCCAGGTCCTTCACATTACTTTTCCGCTCTATTGTATGGTTAGAATTTGTGATATACCCTGACACATTTTTAATTTCTTCAAGTTTTCCTTATCTGAGTAGTTGAAATTTCTCCTCGTTGAACTTCATATTGTTTTGAGTGACCCATTCGAAGATTTGGTTGATGTCCGCTTGGAGTCTCGCAGTGTCTTCCATGGAGGTCACTTCGATGGAGGTTCCTCAGTCTAGATGGAATGAAGGTGTTCAGTTCCTCAGTCTAGATTAAAGGAAGGTGTTCAGTTCCTCAGTTTAGATTAAAGGAAGGTGTTCAGTTCCTCAGTTTAGATTAAAGGAAGGTGTTCAGTTCCTCAGTTTAGATTAAAGGAAGGTGTTGAGTTCCTCAGTCTAGATTAAAGGAAGGTGTTCAGTTCCTCAGTTTAGATTAAAGGAAGGTGTTCAGTTCCTCAGTTTAGATTAAAGGAAGGTGTTCAGTTCCTCAGTCTACATGGAAGGAAGGTGTTCAATTCCTCAGTCTACATGGAAGGAAGGTGTTCAGTTCTATGGATAAAAATCTTCC